ACAGTGGAAACCAGATCCATACAAACCAGGAGCTTGTTAAGAGTTCCTCAGTTCTGAGCATGCTGTCATCGTTCCTCTGCCTATTTTCCTGTCCTGTGGTGTCTCGACTTCAGCCAGAGAGTGAAACATGAACTAGTCAGCTGCTCTGGTGATTGTGGTTTTCCTCTAACCCACATTCATTACTTCTAAAAACACAAAGTGGTTTTCTCTAAAAGAGCCTGTCCAACTGAAGCCAATGAATTTCTACCATGATGGATGGCAATTAATGGACTTCATCTGAACCCTGTTTCTTGTGTTTTGAAACAGATTTACTTTGTAAATATTTCAGGATATTATATACATTAACCACTTTCCTATTGACGGACCTGAGTTCAGCACGATTGAAAGGCTTCTTTGAGGACAGCCAGGAGTCGTCTAACAGTATTTCTCATGTTATCTATGTCTTTTTGTTTTGTGGGTTCTCTATTGTTGAAGTGTTGTTACATCTTCATAAATTTAGTGTCTGATTGATCTTTGATTCATCGTCAGGTATCCCAGCTATATGACCCATTAAATACTTCAAAACTTCAATGGCTCATTTTTCTTCTGTCTACCTTTCATCAATTTCAGTACCAATAAAAGGGGGAAAAAACATAACACTGCTTTTGGCCGAAACAATATGATTCTCATTTTCATTAAGTGCGGCAGTAAGCTTTCACAACAGTGAGGTAATGTCTCAGCAGGTCCTTAGGGAAACATGGGTGAAACAAATCCACAAGAGGCAGCTAATCAATAATGTCTAGGGATGGCAGACTTTTTTATGTGGAGTTGTTTTGGCAGGATGGTAGCCCCTTTAATGCACTCTCTTGCTCTAACAAGAGATTTATAATGTGTTTAATAAAAACACTTGATTTTTCAATATTAAATCATTTAATTTGAACCTTACATTACCTTGGGAATTCTGTTTGTTTTTTGGATTTCTTTTATATAATAACTTTTTTTTTCCAATTTGAAAATAAAAGTGTAGGAAACCTTTTTATTTCATTAAAAATAAAAACCTTTTGGCTGCAAGTGGAGCACCACATTTACACTGAAATGTTTAATTATCAGTCTAATGGTTCATAATCAGCTTTATTTGAACAAGTGTGTCTGTAAGTATGAATTTCAAAGTCTCCCCTCTATTTTTGAAATTAATTTTTTTAACTGGTACATTCTAACATGTTAATTTAGCTTCGGTTTAAGCAGTTCTGTTTTTAGCTAGACATAGAATTAAGGATTTATTTGTCTTGCTGATATTGAACCTCCTCGCTTGTCTCGTCTCAAACAGGTTTTCTTTTAGTGCTATCCTGTATTTAGCAGCATCTATTTTTCAACCTACAACCTGTAAAGAATAGAATCCCCACAGTGGGAGGTTGCCACCACATTCAAAGGTGGGGATGCTTTCTGGGTGGTTGATCAGCGGTGTGATATTTCCGCACCACTTAGTGTTTTCAATGAAGGCTAATTTGGTCCCATCTTAACGGAGCACCTTCCTCCACCTGTTTGCTGTTTCCCCTACATGGCTTGTGGCAAAAAAAAAAAAAAAACGGGACGCTTTATGGCCTTCCTGCTGTGTCTTTCTTCGTGGCACTCTTTTGCGAGGGACAGATTTGTGGGGTTTTCCTGTTGACAGATTATCCCACCTGAGGGATTGATCTCCGCAGCTCCTCATGAGTTAAAATGCACCTTTATCTAGCCTATCACTTAAGGCGGACGGCCTTCTCTAGGTAGGTTTACAAATGATTGAAGATTGCTCCATGCAATGTTCAAGTTTATGATACATATTTTTTCACTGAAGTCTCTCTGAAACTATATCCTGCAAATTTAGCCTCTGCAGAATAGAGATATTTCTACCAAAAAACAGTCTAAATACAGGTAGATTATCCTGTAGTTATGTTTCTTCTAATTTATCCATCTTAATTTATTTAGCAATACTGGATTAGAAAGCTCAGTATATGGATCACTGTAGTGGGTTTCTATTTCTAAACCTTATTTTTTTTCCCATAACGTTTGACCTCGGTCACATTAATTCCTAATACAATCCATTGTTTCCTTCGTATGTGCAGGTTAAAGGGTGTGGATACTCTAGCTAGGTAATCTACACATTGTGTATAATCTCAGCTGTTTTTCTGGATGACTGGGAGATTTAAGGAGTAGTTAAAGGCCAGAATGATTTGAGCTCGGTGACACAGCACACTGCCTCTCAAATCATCAACTCTGGGGGTGACGGGGCAGGGGTAAGCCTTGAGGTAAGCAAAAGCCTTTTCGACATATTTATTTTTCCCCTTTGAGGCTTTTGAGCAGCTCTCCTCGTCCATCTTGTGCTGTCAAAGAGGGCCAGAGGTGGGAGCTGCCATCTCTTTCTCTCACAGGGGCGACTGTGTACATGAGGACCCCAGGGTCAGGCCCTGGAAGCTCCTTTAGTTACTGTTGTGAAATCCTCTCCATTTCCACATACGCAGCCAGCGAGGCCGCTGCCGTCTTTGTTGTCATTTACACACAATGGGCGGGGGGAGTGAATAAATAAGTCATCCAGCTTACCAAAAGCCTACCACCCTTTTCCACTTTAAGATAGACTTTCGACTCACAGGATTGACATCAGATAAGTTGATCTAATCTTCCACTGAAACTTTTAATGTGTAGCTGGAGGGAAAGAGGGTGACAACCAACAGAGTAGAATGACCTAATTAAACCAAGTTTGTACATGTGCTCACCCATCTGACATGCGTGTGTTTCTGATCTTAGCCGTTTTTCTGGAACAGGAGAATGTTTCCTGTTAAAGCAGACGGGTGGGTTCATGCAGGAGTCGGGGGGTCGGGTTCCTCAGCCCACGTCTGGTTCTGCTGAAGCAGATTCCCCACATCCCCATCAAACAGCAGCCCTGAAAACTGACCCTGGCTGGTGCTGATATTTTGGGGGTCAGGAGGAAGAACCAAAGATTTGAACATGGTTTCTGTTGCGCATTTATAGGTAATTTATTTTTTCCAAAACATCATACGTCTTAAGTTTATGTTAATAAATGATCAAGAATATGTTGTTGCTTTATCAAAAAAAAAAAGATCTATGATGGATAAACAGACATTATTGTATAGTTACCCTTAATAAATAGAACAGTATAAGTACGCCACATCAGCATTTACATGGACAGAAGTTCAAGTACCCTTATATTTTGTTGTCTTGTTACAGTCTTTGGTAAAACAGGGTGATCTGCTGAGATGAGCAAAAAAAAAAAAGAAAAAACCCTTGTTGATGTTCCACATGAAATGTGATATACAAGATGGATGGGACGTGTGTGTCGGCCCTGCCTTGTCCAGACTGGTTCCTGTCTTGCTAATAAAATAGATCTCTTGGATACCAATCTCTCCACACACAAGTTTAAGGATCTCATTCACGGTTCTCACCGCATTTAGTCCCTAATGTCTCACAGCAGGGGGTTCTGTCCCAGGCTGTGATTCATGGAGTGACAGGATCTGCCCTCAGTGACCGTGTTGGCCTAGTCAGTCAGGGTGCAACATGCAGGCAGAAAACATGCTGGGTCGCCACTAAGCTGCATATATTTCCATGTTTGCTTTAGTCCTATGTATGTGGGGGAATTATAATGATTTATCCAATAGATTTATTTTATCATGACTTGTTGGTTTTATTAATGTTAAAATGTCCTAATTTCTGCAATTAGAATAATTTTTACGTTTTAAAGGCTATTGAGAGTATTTGCTTACTAGTCTTTCCCCTTTAAATTTGACTCATACTGAGCATGCATCTGGTGATGGTGGGAGGGAAAGATTCCCCTTAAGCAAAGAAGGAAGGGAACTGCTGCAGGCTTCAATCAAAGGCAATTGGACTCCTATACAGAAGTTTTTCTCTATTCAGGAGGCTCACATTTAAGCCACCTGGAGTTGGAGAGCTACTTTTTTTTTTTTTAACAAACTGAGGTTCACCCACTGATGAGTCTTCCAAGTCAGATGCTTGTTGGATTTCTGTTTAGAATCAGTCTAATTGATGGTGTAAAGTTGAAACAGTAACCCTCCCCTTCTTTAAGGGCTGTTTTCTCTTTCACAAACATGGCTTTCGTTACTCTTCCTCCCTTTCACTCCAACTAAAATTGAAACATCATTGTCATCAAAAGTGCATCATGTTTTAGAGGTCCAAGTAGTCCACTCAATCTTTCCCAGAGTTGCTGGCTCTCTTGCGCTATGCAATGCATTGATGCAGTTGTTGTTTGTTTTCTCTATAGTAGGATAGAATGCTCTGATGAAAGATTGCCCTGTCCAAGTTACTATTAAATGATATGATGACTTATAAATATAGAGTGTGATGAAGTTGCTGTAAGGAGTCAGGTAGGGATGCCCCGATACAACCTTTTCAATCCCGATATGATACTGAAATTACAGCTTTTGGTATGGACTAATATACATTTCTGAATTACATATCAGATTGAGACATTCCTAGTGTCAGTGTTTAGGTGTTGGTGTGGGAGTTTGAATAAGGTTCTATTCTATTAGAGTAAATAACTTCTTAATCTTCATAATGCTTGGCAGCAATGGGGGCCTTAAATACTCATCTATAAAGAACAACAATTAGCTGACGGAGCGCTTGTATCCGTTTCAGTTTAATCTGCTCCTGATTCTTCTAGAATTGAATGTTTTTCCATCTCGTTTCTGTTTTTGAGATATGTTTAATACAGATCAGTGCAACTCTTCTGTTGTGGGTGCTAAATAGCTTTACACCATAGTTCATGCAGTTTTTATTTGTTTTCAGTAGCTGATGCTAAAGATAGTAGCACCCATGGAGGCCCAAATGCAATCAGTGTCCATGGCAGTAGATGTTTGGTCGATTTAAAAGTTTATGTGGAAATTAGTATGAAGGTGGAAAGGACTTGATGCATGGTTCATCCAACAGCATTTGGCTTCTCTTTTTCAAGCCGAAATCACTCTTTGGTTCCTCCACACTAAACATTAAGTTGTTTGTTTGCTTTGTTTCAGTGTTTTCGGGCACTGTGCTGTAAAGGACCCCCACCGCCGAGACCAGAGTATGACGTAGTGTGCATCGGCCTGACGGGGGCAGGGAAGACCAGCTTGCTCTCGCGGCTCTGCAGTGAGGGCAGTGACGGCATCGTTCCAACAACAGGTATGCGCTCTGTGGACATCGCAGTACATAGATGGAGTATAAAGATTGTTCCGTTGGGGTGAGGAGATGCTGCTGGGAAATCAATTTGGCTTTTAACACACGAGGAAGTTTTCCACCAAGGGAAAGAACGTCCCCAGTGTTTGTTCCAGAGTGGATGCCAAGATGTCACCAGCCCAAGCTTTGTTTCTTTGCTCCAATCACCTTGGAGGCTGGTGTGATTATCTGCATCTAGGAGAGCAGGAGAGTGTTGTGTTAGTGCACATCATTTTCCTGTTGGTGAACACTCTTTTCCATATATGCAGTAGTGTCCCTTAGGAACAACGACATTCCCACCCTCCTCTGCCCATCTCTGGGCAGAGGAGGGTGGGAATGTCAGGTCTGTTGAGCTGTTGCAGAAGTTCCATCCTAAATCTCGTCTTTGTCCTGTTGAAGCTAAACATAAAGGCTCCAAAATGTGCAGCTTATTACTATAAGTCAAAATTTTTTCTGGGGGATTGAAACCATGTCTGACCCTCCTGCTCGGTAGTCTATAATAGATAAAGTTTGGTGATTATCTGTCCTAGCTGAGAGGCATGTCAGTGAGAGAGTGAGCTGTCATTGCCTCCTGCATCTGCCAGTGTTTTCATAAGCAGAAACACGAAGAGGTAAATCTCCTGTGGTTTCCCTCACTTCTCACTGAAATATTTCCCTGTTAATTAGCTCCGAAGTGAAACTTGGCAATAAATGTAGCTTTGCAGAAAATGATGCTCTTCGATTTCCCGCATCTGTTAGTGTTGTTTTGAAAAGAGTGGAGCTAAATCTATTCCTTCTCTTCATTTCTTCACTGCGATCTTCTGTTTCCCATTCAGACCCCACAAAGAAGGACCACATAGCTTGGAGAAATGCTTTTGATATTAACTCAGTTCTCCAACAAACCCAACATAGCACTTTGCTGCTTGGCTTTTTAGATTTCTTTCATTTCTCAGGACCACCAAAATTGCATTTCTTGTTTATGACTAATATGTTTTTTTTACTTTGAGGGATTATAAAAATTGCAGACTGAGAATTCTTAGTCAATATAATATTTAAAAAATCGGTATGGTTGGTGTTATTTCATGTTGAAAAGAGACTTTTCTGTTTATACACACATTCTCTTTTTCCAGGTTTCAGTATCAAGGCAGTGCCATTTCCAAATGCCATCTTAAATGTAAAAGAACTTGGAGGTAAGGAACACATATCCTTTAAGAAACCTTCTGTAATATAAAAAAAAAAAATCCTTTGCAATGGGAAAATATTAAACTTTAAGATCTGTTGTAGTTAAAATCCTCACTACATCAGTGTTCTTTAAGGCAATGATTTTTATTTTGCAGCTGTCTGGTTTCTTTGCATTTTGCAAGGGCTACATGTTTTTCTGTAGACACATTACAGTAATATTTTCTCACCTACAGATGCCTCTTAATAATTAAAAACAGTTACTACAATTTATTATTATCATTGAAATATTTTCTGCCTTTATTTTTTCAAACTGAATACTTTAAATTCTTGAAATAAATTATATAGTTGTTCAGAAATTACTCAGTAGTTTTTAAACTAACATTTGAATGATGATGATACTCTGCGTTTTATTTGCGTCTGTCATGTTTTCACTCTTAATATTCAGCACAGATAAGATGCACCCCTGGTTGGTTGCCCAAAGGTTTTTATTTTTTTTATAAGGTTAACTGTATTAGGCTTGAAGAATTCATCTTTCTCCAAGATTATTTTTGTTTTTTTTTTAAAGGAAGAGTTGTGCAGCTTTTCTCTGTCCAAAATGTTTTAATATTTTGTGCTCAGGGAGGCAGATGCAAGCTTTTTTTTTTGCAGGTTTTGCAGGAAGTGGGAACCCTACTTTGGAACGGGCACGTGTGTGACGCATCCCACACTGTTAGGGTTTTCTGAAGTGGTTGTACAATCTGCACGCTGTTATTCTTGGAAATGTGCAGCACTCAAGGAAACTGTTTAATGAGCGCAGATGCAGGTTCAAATACACGACCATAACAAATACTCTGAGACTTTTTCATGGAAGCCTGAGGAGAGTTCGGCCTCTCTGAAAAGCACCTCAGCTGTAAAGAGGAAAAGCACCTCAGCAGTAAAGAGGAAAAAAAAATAAGGTCTGGTTAATTTTTTTTAAAGTACGATATTCACTGTATGCATATGACAGGTGCAGTGGATATTTATATAAGGCTCAACCCGAAGTAGCCTCCTGAAAAGAAAGGGTGAAACTCGCACTCGCATATACACAAAGAGGCACTGCAGAGACCACCAACAAGGATGCTACCAAATTTGGACAGAGCACATTAGACGGTTTTCAAAAGAGGTTTTACTGGATTGGGTCAGGCCTAGTCTGGTAATGGCAACATTATTGTGGTTGGCAAAACACTCGTTCCACGGGTGACAGCTCTGATTTAGAGATGATGGTAAAGGCTGCCACCACAGCAAAGAAAGATGAAAATCGCTTCTCTCCTTTTTTTTCTGTTTGCCAGCCCCCCACTGAATGTCTACAGTTCTGCTCCTCTTTATGTACCTACACAGAGCTCTTAAATTACAGGGATTTATGTTGCAATCTCTGTATTGGAGAGAGGGGAAGCGAGCATATGATCCACATGTTTGACTGCTTTACTGGCTACTATCAATTTCCGACTAAATGTTAGGTTTAGGTTTAGTTTGAAGGATAAAAGTTGACATCTTTTGCCAGCTCTTTTTCTGAATAAAACTGACGCTTTTTTGTATTTTTTAACGTGAAATTGTATGACTTTTTAAAATGTATATACCAGTAGCTTAGCCTGGTTGCATACAAAGCTTTTCAGAAAGATGACTGTGTCCAGCTGGTCTGATATTTGTTATGTTTGTGTTTTGGAGTTTATTTTTGCTCATTTTGTTAGTAAATAAGGCCCTGAGTATATTTGTCATAGCAACATCAAGTGACCGGAGGTACAGCATTATATTGTGTATCAATGCAAGTGGTACACAGGGAAGTATTGGTGCTAAGCAAGTCAGCAACTCCCAGCACAGATGTAAAAAGAAAACAAGAAAAGTCCAAATTTCCAATGTATAAAGCACATAAAAATATTGGATTTCAATCAGAATAAGACTCAAATAGTGCTCAGAATACATTATAAACTTTGGTGTTTACTGAATTTGGGTGTGAATGGCTGGGAGGGGGGGAGTTTCTGTCACACTTGCTAGAATCCATAAAACTATTCAAGATCAAATTTAGTTCAAGTCTCATAAACAATGCAGTTACCGCTAGAGTTTATATGAATAAAAAGGTTTAGCCTATGACTTTTTGTTTATTAATTTTACTTTATGTTTATGCATTTAGCAGATGCTTTTGTCTAAAGCGACTTAAAAAGTAGACACAATGTTACTGTTATCGTCAGTATGACAAAAAGTTCTCTATAGGAAAATCCCTAATCAGAGTCAGGGATGACAGCAAAGAGATAGAGGGAAGTACATAAAGAGTAGAGGGGTATACAGCTATAGGTAATAGTTAGGATAGGAGGTGCTCTTGGAAGAGTTGGGTCTTTAGGAGTTTCCTGAAGATAGACAGGGACGCTGCTGTTTTTGTAGCGCTTGGTAGGTCATTCCACCATCTTGGAACAACACATGAAAACAGTCCGGATCGTCTTAAGCTTGGTGTAGGTACTGCTGGACAACAATCAATTGATGACCGCGGAGACAGAGTTGTGACATATGCCTTTGTTAGAGGGTTCAAGTAGACAGGAGCGGTACCCCTAAGCACTTGGCTAGCATCAGGGACTTGATTTTGATGGGAGCAGCAAGGGGTAACCAGTGAAGCTCAATAAACAGAGGGCTGAGGTGAGACTTTTTGGGCTGAATGAAGACCAGACACTACCACGTTCTGGATCATTTGTAACATTTATCATACAAGCTGGGAGACCATTCAGGAGTGGGTTACAGTAGTCCAGGTGGGAGATAACAATATATTGCACCAGGAGCTGGGTGGCATGTTGGGTTAGGTATTGCTGGATCTTTCTTATGTTTAGTAGTTTGAAGCGACAAGATCGAGAAACGGAGGTAAAACGATCTTTAAAGGTCAGCTGGTCATCAATCATGATCAACCTGTGGCACGGTAGCGCGCACAACCCATATACGGAGGCCTTAGTCCTCAATGTGGCTGACCCAGGTTTGAATCTGACCTGTGGTCCTAAACTTTTAGGGAAGTGTTGGCCTAGTGGTTAGAGCAATGCGCTTGTGCACATTGAAGGTTGCGTATATCAGGTTTGATTCCCACAACCTGCACTCTGGGTCTCTGAGCAAGACTGTTAAACATATGTCTTACCCTGATGCTGTGTCCCGGTCTGTGTTTTGTAGAAAAGGAGATTTTTTCCCCCTTGATGTTCTGTTCGGAGGCTTTGGGGAGGATTCACTTTAACATGGAGTTGCTGTAGGTCGTGCCGATCTTTGACCATGTCAAGCTGCCGCTTTATAGCCAGGGATTGCGGAATGGTGGGGCTTTATTAAGTAGCTGTGTTAATTGTCACCATCTGGCTTCCTAATAATTCTGTCTGTCAATGTCTGCTCATCGTTTTCAAAGCTTAAATTCTTAACACTATCAGAACAGACACTTGGTGTGTCACCTTATCTTATCATGATTTACTGGGATTTGGTATTTTTTGTGAAGACATATAACATGGTTCTGCACCTTTTAATACATGCAAAGAAATGGTGTAATGGAATAGAATGTAATACCGCAATAATATTTAAAATATTATTTAAATTAAATAAGAAGTTAGGAAGTTCATACTTGATTAATCCTGACTCTAAATAGTACTTGATATCTTTTTGTTTATTTCTCTTCACTAAGCATTAATTAACACACGGAAATAGCTGTTTCTAGTTCTTGTTCATAAATTACTTTTTAGGCACCTCATTAACACATTTTTTGGCCTGTTCTAGTTATTCCTAGAACTATCAACTTCAAGTGGAAATAAAAAGTGTTATAATCCTTTGAAAGAAGTTGTTTGTTTTTTCTGGTGGCAAGGTAGAGATGGGCTGTCCGTGCTCAACACAGCTGTCTGGATGTCCAACAAGGAGACATTTATGTCCGTCCACCTTCTTTCTCTCTGCCCCTTTCCTTTCTGAAACACTGATTAATGGCCCATCAGTCATATAACACCAATATTTTGCACCAGAGGATAAATACACCACAGCAAAGGGATACCAAGTAATGCTGGCTCTCTTCTATGTGGAAGTTTTCCATGACATAAGAAAACCTACATTTGTTATTTTCAGTATTAGATGTTATTTAGCTCTGGTGATTTTACGGCATCTGTGGTAAAAAAAAAAATTCCTCAAATAAAAGGGTTTAGTTGTTTTTTTTTATTTCTGTTTTAGTATTTCCATGGGGCCATCTGGCATTTGCCAATTCTGCTGCCATAGATGACATTTAGATTCTTTTTAAATTGTTGATTAAAAAACAACAACTTTGCATTCTGATTTTCAAACATGTAAAGCTGCCATGTATCTTCGCCTGAGTTTTATTCATGAAACTGTTTCACACCGAGAATCTGAATCTGCTGATCTTTTGTCTGGCAGAAGCATTTGTTACTCGGCTAGTGTCAGGTATAAGGATTAGGTGGGAAGGGCACCTCTGGTGTGTGTGTGCGGGTGGGTGGGTGTGTGTGTGTGGATAGTGATATGACGTCAAGTCTAGACGGGCAATTTCACAGTGTGCATTCATGTCACGCAGTGACAGCTGATAACATGGTCCTAATAATCACAACTCACTGCTGTTGTTCTTTAGTGCTATGGCTGCTGTTGGGAGTTACGCTCTGGGATTTAGGGAGGATCGATTTGTTTAAATAAACCGCACAATATTTGCACCTGGCTGTTTAAGAAAACATTTGTTGGTAGAACAAAATGGCTTTGCTGTGTCATTCTAAGCCTGGTATTTGATTTTATTTGTGAATGAACACATGCGTGTCTGATGTCAGTGAAGAATGCATTCATGGCTTGTGAAGCATACAGAGTTGAAATATGCTAAGACTTAACTTGCCACTGCAAATATAACCACAAAGAGCATACGAAGAGAGGAGGAGGAGGATGCAGTAAGATGACAGACAATCCATCAGCTGCCAGTAACTAACAGCAGGCGATGAAAGTATGCAAGCCCATCTTTAAACAAAACCAGTGCAAGGTAGTCATCACAGATCAGATGTGA